GGCCAGTCGCGTTCTCCTTCTCTGCCGCGTTGGTATTGGGGACAAGGGTCGAGTGCGTATACGCTCAACGGGCTTTGAAGTACCAGGCGGGTCATAACAGTTATTAAGATGCTAGCTCAGGCAGTCAGATCTTCCTGCCGTTTAAAAAGTTCCGCGTCATTACGTACATAAAGATCAGGGCAAGACGGTCACACCGAACTTAGGAAAACCGAGAAGACACGTTCCCCTCCTGTCAAACTCACTCGAAGGAGAAGACGAGTTTTGTAAGATCCCCCATTAGTATGGCGCCAGTTCTGTGCGGAATAGCAGACAGGCAGGATAGCAGAAGACGTCTTTAATGCGACAGTCGCTGTGTGTACATCAACTCTCAATCCTTTTGACCGTGACTTAGTACTTAAGGGTTATGCCTTTATCTGATTTGCATGTTCCTGCCGGTCCAGTTCTGAGGGCTCGGATGAACAGAACCTAGCATATTGCTGACCTCTGAAGGTCGCGCGTAACTCGGCGGCGGGCTAATTGCTGGTTCCTGTGCGGACTTGCTAGGCAAGACTGATCTGCGGGTTTGAGGTTTCTTTTCCGGCGTGGCAGTTGGATGACAGGAGTGGTGCGTCGTGTTCTAAGCCGTCCTAACAAGTTTCAACCGTCTTTCATGGAGGCGACGGCCCGTAACGCAGGGGGTCGTCAAGCCCCCGCCCCCCAAACATCTTCCGACTAGCCCGGCTAATCATTTGGAATTCTGGTCGATTTTCGACATTAAACGCCCTGAAAATGAAGAGCCGACTAAGTTCACCGAAACGCCAGGAACACGTCAACTCTGCTTCGGTGAGAAACTTGTCATTCTCACATTGGGCTGATGTGTCACCCCCCTGTGGACAAAGACACATACATGATATTAGAGTAGGGCAGTCATAATAGCAGCCTTTTCAACAGCCAGAAAAGTAGGTCCGTTGGAAGAGCCTTTGGCAGTCTACTCTTGTACTCGTCGGTTGAATGCATGTACAGGGCCTAACTCGGTCCCCTCTACGGCGACAGACAGTCGTCAAACTATATTGCGCCCTTCGCTGGTTGGTTGCAGGCGCAAATGGGCCGGTAGCACACATTCACCTTTCATTGCGACCAATACCGACTACAGGGTGAGAACTACAGTGAGCGACCAATCTCATGAAACGTTCGCCAAAATTCTGAAATGCGTTTCCAATCAGGAAGGATTAATTAGGTCGGGTCGTAATACTGATTATCTTCCGGCCGTAGTCCTATAATATTTCGGACTCGGCAGGATGTCGGCTTTCAAATGCACGTCTTTTCAATCTTCTATAGAAGTCGTGCTGAGCAAAAATTACTACTTAAGTAGCATGCGTTTTTCCCATTGATTTTCGATGGCCTTGCAAATTCAAATACATTTTATAAGAAACGTTAACAAAAATATGCTTTCTATTACTCGTTTGATAGGGAACCACCCCATCTTCATATTTTATACTCGGAGAAGCAGTATAATTAGGTTTTAAAAAAGTTTCCTAGTTCCCGAATCAGTTGGAGCCCGATCAGCTGCTGTATTAGAGCCTAGTGATTGCAGTCTACAAGCTTCATGCGTTCCGCGTAAGGAAAGTCGTATATTCTTCTATGCCTTTAAAAAGATTCTATATAGGGTCCATAAAATTTTGGCGAACATTTCATGAGGTCGGTCACTCACTGTATAAGTTAGCGTTCACTACTGAGGTGTTTGTACTCCCCCAGTCATGGGTACACTGGACAAATGTCAATTAAACTAGATCGTTGCGTACTCCGCTTCTCCAAGTCCCTATAAACAGCCCTATTGTGGAAATCAACCGTTCTGTCGGGTCAGACAAGACTCAGTCCCATCCTAAAATCCCGACCCACAACCAAAGTACACTTCGTACATCCCCAGCATTTGTTGGTCACAGCGTGATAGCCAATCAGACTGGCGGAGCCTAGGACTAGTGTTCTAATGAACGATACTCAAGGCAGAGATCGTGTGTTCATCTTTATACTCAAGGCAATTTCTCGTGCTCTCCCGCCACAGTCTAATCCATCGCTACCGTCTCCCACCTGGAACCACGGAACCCGACGACCAACGCAGGTGAACCAGCAGGACAAGTTTTACGAACTAAATGATCCTGGCTATTGTGGGCTCTGCACGGTCCCTTTGCAGTTATTCTGTTGGAATTAAGTGTTCTGCTACGGACTAGACTGTTCGTTAATAGAAGCGAATAGGTGAATTCCAGGAAGCAGTCTTGAAGAAGGAGACACGATAGGTGGAACACGAGTTTTATTAGCCTGAAGTTTCGGATTCTCACTCGAATCCACCATCAGAGACAAAGGGAAGTAGATTGTCCACGTATTGCAGCGTCTACAGGACTTAGTTACTAGGCCGCTACGTTTCTATCACAACTAGCGGCTCCCCGGTGCAACATGGTCCGACTGTCGAGGTGTTGCAGAATGCAGTTGCTACGCGCTTGTCAAAATTATCGGCTCCTATGCTCATCGTTTTATGACCCGCCCGGTACTTGAAATCCCGTGGAGCATATACACCCTCGACCCTTCTCCCCAATACCAAAGCATCAGACAAAGAAAACACGGCCGGCCACGAAAAGTGTATTAGAAAACACCGCAAGTCGCGGTTAGCTGAAAGGTGACGCATATTTATAACACCCTACTGTAGTTCGCCGGCATTCGGCCCAATGACCTTCAGGAAGAGGGGAGTAGCCAATGGAGAGACGCCCGATTAAGATGACAGCGCTGTAGAGAGAGCAAACGCACGTGGTCTCCAGTGATTGGCTGGCTCTTGCTTTTGGGAGTGTAGGCACTCTGAACACATCGTACACCCGGTCAGTCGGACAGTGATACGCTCGGGGCTGCTAATTGTGATAGACATGTAGTGACCTAGCTACCACACCCCATAAATACTACAACGCCTGGGCAATCTACTACCCTTATGCGACTTGGCGAGGTTTGGTCCTGCAGCCCCACTTGATTGAGATGGTTAGCTAACCAAAACATTTTTAGTAGGTCCGATTACGCTGACTTTACATATATCGTGTTTGCGCCTTTCCTACCTATTTAATCCAGCGAGTAACTGCCTCGGGGGGAGTGCTTATACGCCAGCATAGGTAACATCAGGAATCAGCTCACACTCACTTTCCCAACTCAGCGTGCTTCGGGTCCTGCTTGCGCCCTCTTCGTTATCTCAGTCCGGCGGATGGCTTGCCAATGTCATTGTTCGGACGGCGTGGAACTCCGCCCGTCCCACTATACTGACCATGCACTATGAATTAACACGCAGTTCCCCCTGTGGCCTTCCAGTTGTGATTGCGCCTTCTCCTTATCCTCTTAATCTAGCCAGTGACGGTATCGAGGGTGGTGTATGCACACGCCAACCTCGGTTACGCCAAACATCGGCTCCCACGCGCTTCCCTGCGCGTGCTTCGAGCTTTCCTTGCGCTCTCATTTCCCTCCTAATCCATCGAGTTGTTAGGTTAGATAAGTTAACTAAAATTGCTTTAGGAAGACACCCACATGTGTCAATCAACTGAGGCTGCAGAACCAGACCTCGCTAAGAATCTACTATAACTTCCTTCCAATCAATAGCAAGTGGGTAGCAAAAAACAGCTCCAACTGGCCTAGGGTAGACATGAAGCAAAATTGGGAAAGTATGGCCGAAATGACCTCCATGGTGATTCTTATTCCTACCCTTTCGTCTGCATTTAGTACTCCAAAATTTGTGACGGCACACTCAACAAGGACCAATCCTCCACACGTACGTCAGAAAACATCGGTATTGGTTGATAGACTAGGACCTACATTGGTTGACTTCTACCTGCATAACATTATTTAACCCCTTTTTATTTGGCAGACAGCAGTCAGTCTTATCCAGTGCTGTTTCAGAAAATGAGATCCGAATAACACAGAAGATTTTCAAGAAGATTAGAATCCACTTCGTCCTCGAGGCGCAATTGTGACTATAGTGACCGTGAACTATGAATTAACACGCGGTTCCCTCTCTGGCCTTCCAGTTATGATTGCGCTCTCCCTACCCTCTTAATCCAACGAGTGGTTGTATCGCGGGGGGTGTATGCACACGCCAAGGTTACACCAAACATCGGCTCACACGCGCTTCCCTGTGCGTGCTCCGGGCTTTCCTTCCCAATCCAGCGAGTGGCAAACTTAGGTATGCTAAGTAAAATAGTTTAAGCTAGCTAACCGTATGGTACCAATCAAGTGGGACTGCAGGATCAAATCTCGCCTCTGATTTTGTTCCTGATGATGGATTCGTGTGAGAATCCGAAACGTCAGGCTAATAAAGCTCTTGGACTAAGCTATATTTTCTACAGCAAAGCGTTGGTGACTAACGGAGTCGCGAAGACCAGCTGACCCGGAGTCAATATGCGCACAAAATATTGACCGATAAATGAGAAAACGGAAGGTAAGAGAAATTCTAAAATCTTTCAGATGACAAGTTGAAGAGCCCACCCAGTCGCATGGAGAGCAGCATTAAAGTGTCTATTTGAAATAAGGCTAAGATGTGGTTTGGTAGTCCCACCTGATGGGCCCAATACTATTCGGGTTGGGATTAAGGGTTCGGGGGCTGTGGCTAGGGTTATAGGTCAAAGTTAGGGGGTTAGCGCAACTATTTCTTAACCATTTAAAATACAACCGCGCATTCCCAATAGCTTTTCTTTTGTATACAACTACTTAGCCTCGTCGCCTTTGCGTCCACCGGCCCTACCTGTAAAAAACGCTATTACCACCGGTCCCGTATTAGAGGTGACTGCGGTTTGCTTACTTCAGGTGGAGCTACCAAACCACATCCGACCGAAATAAGTTTAGTGATCTTCTTGACAACCAGATAATTATGGTTAAAAAAGGATTTATATAGGCATGATAAAGTGCTGCCAAGACTGGAAGTGCATCTAAGAAAATGACAAATAAGTCTCATGTTATCCGTTCACAAAGGGAACACGACAGCCTCAGGTGGGGCCTGGCTAGCTTTGAAAGATACCAGCACAGGACTGCAGACCGGAGGTGAACACGGCCCTCATGTCCTGGCTGGCCGTGCGCAGAACCTGCCGAATAACGCCAGGAATGAGTTTCCTAAAAAAGACAGGAGTACAAGGCTGATGAGTAGAACTACTTAAGAGCCCACATACCATGGGCTTGTACTTGGTCTCTTACCTGGTTTCCTCATCACAACCGCCATTCCAGTCAGCGACAAAGAGCTCAAAGGCAGCGCTGCAACGGGTTCGAAGGCGACTCATGTCAGAGAGGGCTGGCGATCCCAGGAAAGAGGCGAGGGGAAACAGCAGATAGGGTGAATCCCTAGGTGAGACAAAAGCCATGGGAGAGACCTCGGTAGGTGGGTTTACACAGGCCCATACTGAAAATATTTGCGAATTTATTGCTACTTATTTTGTTTAGGTAGTTCCGCATAATACATCGACATTCTTGGGTACGTTATTCTCAGTGTGAGAAGTCAGGCGTACTTCCAGTCATAATCTTACTAGTGGCTTCGAGGCCGAAAAAACGTGGACAGCGATGGGACGGGCACAGGGCAATCAAAGTCAGGCGAGGGTGATCGGACCTGATTTAAAACGAAAGACAGGTTGAAATCTCAGGTCCTCGTGGCCGGGGAATGGAGAGTGGTTGACTGAAGACGTCAGAGTCAACCATGCAAGAAGATAACTAACGCGACAGAAAGACGCAGTCATGTCCACACGCTCACAAGGGTTGAAATAACTGTAACGTTCCAAACGGCGAAAGAGTTTAAGCACCATAGCCAAGAAAACCCCTTAGAGTAAACGCGTGTCCGAGCAATTTTGTCAATAAAAACGCTCACCAGACAAAGGCGACGCCAACCAAAAAAATATAGGCAGCCACTCACTAAAAAAAGGTCCTGAGAGGGCTTTAGCCTGTACGTGTATCGTAATCCGCATAGACAAATCAAGATCTCCAAATTACACATCGAAGGTTGTCAATGAGATCCTTTGTAATGATGACGACTGCGATTATTTCGGGGGGAGCGGATGAAGGCTGCAGATGTGCCTATGCAAGCGAACAGGGCTCTAGACGTTAACTCACGCCAAGGATGGTGCATGTCACATTAGAGGAGTGGTTTTTAGATATCGGTTCAGTCCACGGACACACCGACCTACTTCTGATGACATTAGCTTCACACAAAACAGGACAGGACGGTTGCCGTGATCTTAGAGTAGTGAACCAGGAAGCCGCTGTATCATCAGACCAAGCTGTCTGTCAACAGACCGAAGCCGCTTGCCAACGCGGTGAGCAATCAAGTCACAGTTATTGCGTCCGTCAGGCTGCTATAAACGGCTGTGGTAGGAAGGTCAGTCAAATATCCCATCAGCACAGGGCCGACTACATCGGTAAACCGTGTAATTTTCTCCTCAATTTTTGGACGTTCATGCCGCATGATGTATAGGTTGCCTAGGTTCCAAAGAGATCTACGTTCTCAGATTACCAACTAGGGACACCTGTATTTGTTTACGCAAGACTTAGGGTCGATGATTATGCGGGGAGCAGTCGGAATCTAGAATCAAAGCACCACCAGCAAGATTGCGAAAGTTTGAGAGGCGGCCGAATATTTATACAGTTAGGTATGGCTTGGAAATAATGCCGGACTCTATGCGGGTGAAGAGACAAACGAACGAAACCGCACAGATGACTGTTTAAACCCCGGATCATTTTGCCGGGACGAGGACACAACGTCCACGACAAAAACGTGCATCTTCATGCAGCGGTCACAGATAAGGTTCAACTGAATTTTTCAGAAAAGTGGGTACAAACAACACTGGATACGAGTGAATTTGCAGTGGATAAACGAGAAAAAGAGGATTGCTTGAACGCGTAATCATTACGCGATCTCGAGTTGTTATTACTATAACACACCTACTTATTTGATTTAAGTAGGCACGCTAGGCTGAAGTTGCGGCTCAACTTGGGGAAATGATCACACCTAGGGTTAAGGTGGGGGTTAAGTTTAGGGTTGGATTAATTATTAGAGTTTATATTGCCTGTAGCATACCGCCCATCCAATATGGCCTTTTTTAACCAATAACTTCGGAGTAACTGTTTCTCGTCTGTTTGCACGTCCCTAATTATCATTAAAATTGTACGCTCTGTGCCGGTACCTCGTTAGTAATAAGACAAGCAAAAGGCAGAAATGAGAGTCTTCTCAATGTCCTCTACAGATTCCGTTAAGTGCCGCGTCCATGAACCCTACTGATAAAATCAATGTTAACATTCTTCTCAAATTAGGGGAGTCCCTGTGCTTATTTTCTCAATGGGCTTACACATTTAATCCTCAACTCTAAATGCACCCAGCTGACTCAGAAACAGCAAAGAACGGTCAACAGTACAAACACAAAACCTGTTGCATCCAGCTGGTCAACGCTTGGAATTCTCCACGCCCTCCTCGCAAGTGCTTCCACATTTGACCCCTGTTGACATCCCCCTCCCCCCTTTTTGTAACCCTCTTTCGAGCGTGATCAGCGTTCTTTTGATTAACTAGTTTTTGTATTCTGACCTTGAGTTGGGAATTCGATTCGCTCGAACAGTAACAAAGGAATTCTTTGTCTAGGGTATCCATTGCTAAGGTTTGTACGTTCTTTATTATTACCTTATTCTATCAATAGTACCGTATATACACAGAAATCTGTTTTGGCTTATACACGTGACTCAATTAATCAAGAATTCTACAAAACCCATGATATTTTCGGTAGAAGGCCAGACAACATCAGATCTGCAAATGCGCATGCACGATCGGGCAAAATGGGTTAAGTACAGTCTTTGGAAGTGGGGCTTTCGAAATTGATGGCTTACGAGCAAAGACCAGGGAGACTAGATATGTCAGGAGGAAATAGGAATAAATACTGAATAATTTAAACTGACTGCTCAAACATCGAACTAAAGGCCGATTTTGAGTGCGTCAAGTGTGGACAGGAGCAACAAAAAGGCGTGAGGGTGGGTGGGTGGGGTCGTGGTGGGAGAAGGAGGGGTTAGTTAGTTGGCTTACCTTAGACGTTGACTTGGAGTTTGTGTGCCCTCGGTCATAAGGCGTAGAAATTCAAGCCACTAAAAAGACAAGAGGGGTCTGAAGGTGACTTTGTGCCCAGAAGCGGATCAAACGCGCAAACCAAAGGGATCCGTTTGGAAATGATGAGAATGTTTCCGCTGCGTACCGTCCCAAGTTGAACCTTCTGGAAGACAGTTCGAGCGTCGCAAGTGACGACGTCCACTGCCTGCCTTATGAAGTGGGCGCCGCGCCGGTGACTTATACGTGGACTTTCGCAGCATCTACCGCACCTGCTCTTCCCCCACCCACCTTACAGCGCCGGTGACTTACGCGTGAATAAGCTAAAAATGGAACGAACTTTCACAGCGTCTACCGCACCTACTCGTCCCTCCCACACCTTGTTCCGATGGCAAGACCATGTCAAGACGACCGGAGGTGAGTGAGGGCGATGGATGACAAAATTAAAGGGCTGTCTACGCGTGCCACACACGATCCGCCCTCCCGCGGGGGAATAGAGCCTAACGGGCGCTGGAGGCAGGCAGTCCGAATTTTTAACGCCATCTAGGCGGTTGGAAAGCTATGACAGTTCGGCACACGCATACGACGATATCTGCTGTGTGCACTACATCATGGTGGGCACAGAACAGCCATTTGCGTGTGAGTTAGTTTTGTAGCGATAGCAGACTTGCACAACATCTGTCGCGCTCTCTCCCCTACCTCGTCTGTCTAGGTATCGGTGGCAGGGCGACTGTAAGCGAGTCCGTCTAAGCGTGCCATGCATGACAGGACCACACACAGAAGGAGCGGCTATGGTCCCACGCCCGTCCGACTGCCATGGAGGCCACCTTAAGAAGGAGCCACTGGGCCTGACTCTCAATCCTCGAACCAGTCACCCCGACCGTCGCGAACGACGATGTCCGTCGTGTGTTAACAGTATAGTGGATGTAGGATTGGTGACTTGCGCGGCGTCTACCGCACCCTCCCATCCCTCACCCTCCTGGGTCTGGCGCCCAGACAGAGGCTGGTATTCTGAGCGCCCAACTCTGGAGACGTGGCCACGTTGACAGGATGTACAGTGAGTGACCTCGTTGTTATCCTACTCCAGCGAGTGGCCAGGTAGATTTGCCAATAGCACTATTCGGACGGATTGGGACTCCGTCGGTCCTACTATACGGGCCATTTAGTGCGAACTGACACGCGGCTCCCTCCGTGGCATTCCAGTTTTGATTTCGTTCTCCGTATCCTTTTTCTCGAACGAGTGGCTGTGTCGCGGGGAGAATGTATGCACGCCACCTTCAATTACACCAAGCCTCGACTCACACGCGCTCCCTTGCGTATGCTTTGAGCTCTGCCTGCACTCTCCTCCCTTTCCTAATCCAGTGAGTGGCTTAGATTGGTATGTTAACTAAAAGTATTTTTTAAAAAGCTATCCATATGGTATCAATCAGGTGGGGCTGCAGGACCAAACCTCGCCCAAACAAACTGAGATTGGAGCAACGAAACCTGTTTTCTTCGTCGACTTTGTCCTGACCAAATTTGGTCCGGGAAAACAGTGCTTCGAACCATCCTTCATAAAGCGAGTATTAAAAACTTGGTTTCAAGACGGACAACAGTATTGAAGAAGGAGACACGATCGCTGGGACAAGAACTTTATTAGCCTGACGTTTCGGATTCCTGCTCGAATACATCATCAGAGACAACAGCAGATACAGGTGATTCACGTACAAGGGGCTTAAGTATTTATAGAATGCAGTCGCCATGCTACCAAATACAGTGAGTGACCGATCTCGTGAAATGTTGGCTGAAATTTTGAAATGCATTTTCGATTAGGATGGATTACTTGGTCGCGGTTGTAATAATGATTATTGTAAGGCGTACTCTTATAACATTTCGGACTGGGCAGGATTTCGGATTTTGAATGCACTTCTTTTCAATCTCCTGTAAACAGCCTGCTCGATAAAAAATGTCTACTTAAGTAGCATGCATTTTTCCCATTGATTTTCGATGGTCTTGGAAATTCAAATATATTTTATAGAAACCATAAACATAAATATGCTTTCTTTTAGTCAATCAATAGAGAATCACGTCTTCTTTATATTTTATACTTAAGGAAGGAGTATAATTAGGTTTTAAAAAGTTTTCTAATTGCCGAATAATTTGGAGCCTGATCATTCGTTGCATTAGCGCTTAGTGATTTCACTCTACAAGGTGCATGCGTTCCGCGTAAAGAAAATCACATACTTTTCTATGCCATTAAAGAGATATCATACAGAGTTCATAAAATTTTGCAATGGATGCGGACCATGTTGTACATTTCATAAGAAGCAGTGGTAAACGGCCAGGTACGATGCTATGTGAATGGACATTTCGCGGTCTTAAAAAGTCTCATAATTAGAAACTTTTTAAAGACCTAATTATACTCCTTCCTTAAGTATAAAATATAAAGAAGACGTGATTCTCTATTGATTGACTAAAAGAAAGCATATTTTTGTTTATGGTTTCTATAAAATATATTTAAATTTCCAAAACCATCGAAAATTGAAGGGAAAAATGCATGCGGCTTAAGTAGTCATTTTTTACCAAGCACGCTTTCTACAGGAGATCGAAAAGAAGTGCATTTAAAATCCGACATCCTGCCAAGTCCAAAATGTTGTAACAGTGTGCCTTAAGATAATCAGTATCACAACCGCGACCAAGTAATCCTTCCTAATCGAAAACGCATTTCAGAATTTCAGCCAACATTTCATGAGATCGGTCACTCACTGTAGCTACAGGCTACGGAGAGGAGATTTTCACTCAAAAACAGTCGGCAAACCGATTCTCAGCGAAAGCTGTGGGCGAAATCGTCGAAACCAAAAGAGCAAAAGGCGTTAAAGGACATAACCACTCCCAAATGCCACTAGATCGTCAGTGTTCCTCGCGAGTCAGACAAACATGAATACCTTTCCTGCAAACACCTGAAGTCTGGTCAGGTGGATGCCATCGAAAAGGGGCGGTGGTTGTGTGCATGTTCTGGGAAAACACGTAACGACACGCGTCGACTGAAACCAGGCACATCAGGCAAGCCTCCTGCGTCTACAGGTATCTCCGAGTTATCTCGTCGGAGGATAAGAACAACGCTCTGTAAGTATTAGTTTCGACTTGATGGCTTACAGGAAATTGCACTTAACAGAACGATAAAAAAACTACCACGTGTTACGCGTAGAGCAGCGAGTTATAACCTCCTATTTTGGCCTTGATCAAAAATGACGTGAAGACGACGAATGTTCTCGAGAAAGGGACTCCCTTCATTGAACAGAAAGGACCTTGAAACCACAGTGAAAATGACTGTCTATTGTTGCTTTTGGCCTCGGAGGGGCCATGAGTAGCTATGAGGGCTGGGCGAGGGAGAGAGGGACTTACACCGTCACACAATTTGCGGGCGCGTTCTACGGAGAGCTGTCCGGTAGCCCGTGCGGACTGCTGTCCTGAGGTCGCAGACGTATCGCTGTCGCCTTTAACGAGGTCCACGACGTCTTCCGACAACACACGCAGGACATGAGCTCGAAAAGCAGCGGTTGGACTGACGAGTACGGCCGACTGTAAGGATAAAAAGAGGCGTGCATGCGGAGGAAACAACATGACCCATGCTGCAAAAAGGGACTACTTAAGTAGTATGATACTTTCCTATGTATTAGGAAACCCCTATAAAGTCAAGCATATTTTATAGAGAACACGCAGGGAAAATCTCTCCTCGACTCTGCTGATAGGAAATTACGTCCTCTCCAAGTTTTGTACTTGAAAATACAGTATCATTCGGTTTTTAAAAACCTTTTAAGACTCCCGAATGATTTTGAGCCCGACCTGCCTTTACGCTAGCATTCAGGGTTTTCAAACTACAAGCCGTATATTTTCACGTGTAAGGAAAATCGGCTGGATCGCAGTTGGTAGCCAGGAATGGGGAAGCGGACGGCGACCTTAACCCTCACCGAAATCGTAAACGTAACCGTAGCCCTTAGAAATAGCCGTAACTGAAAAACCTAACCGTAATACTGAAGCCTATTCGTACGCTCAAACCCTAACAATAACGCGAAAACCTTAGCCTAAAGGCATAACCCTAACTCGAAAATCGAAAACCACCAACCGGTACCCTAATCCTAACCTCAAACGTAAAACGGAAGCCAAATGGGTCAAATGTGATTACGGAGCTCCAAAAAAATAGTCCCAGGAAACAACCCTTCCCCCCACCTGTAATACGGAGCCTGGCTACCAACTGCGATCTAGCCGGAAAATCCTATATTACTAGGAGCTATTAAGGTTTCATACAGGGATTATAAAATTTTGCGACGGATGTGGATCTTGCTGTCCACTCAATAACCAAAATTAAGGTAAGGGGTCGGTTACACTGTCCTGGTCTCAAGTGTAAGCGCAATGTGGGCATTGAAAGTAAAGTAAGCCGAGGGTGGGTGCTGAAATCGTTAGTGAGAAAGTTGCCAGAGCTAAAACGGAAAAGGGCAACCTGCTGTTTCGGTTTAATGGTAGAGTTAGTTTTAGGGTTTGGGTTAGTTATAGACGTTTTGGCAGATTTTGAATAATTCATATTGACCCAACCGTGAAAAACTCGGCGCCTTGGTGGGATTCGAACCCGCGCAGTGAGGGGAAGGCATTAGTACAGCCAACGCTCTAACCACTTGAACTACGAGGTCCCGCCGGACGACGCGAGTTTAGTCAATGTCAATTAATAATGAAATTAATAATGAGATAATTAATGAATTAACAATCAATATGAATCATTCCAAAATCCGCCAAAACGTCTATGAATTACGTGAGCCTGGTAGTCATCTGGTAGATTCTAGGTGAATTACCTAGGAAATCCTGCTTGGGCAGTCAACTTACTGAATCAGATTTGGTGGATTCCACACGTTGCAGTAGGTTGGGCGGGTAACTTGACCCAAATGTGATTAAACTGGCGTCGTCCGGCGGGGCCTCGTAGCTCAACTGGTTAGAGCGTTGGCTGTACTAAAGCCTTTCCCTTACTGCCTGGTTTCGAATCCCACCGAGGCGCCGAGTCTTTCACAGTTGGGTCAATATGAGTTTGGGTTAGTGTCAGGCTGGGAATCGAGTTTAGGGTAAAGGCTCGTGTTAGGTTTAAGGGTTCTGGCTAGAGTTAGGGTTTGGATTTCGATTTAGGTTTATGTTTAGTGTTAGGGTTGGGTTAGGGTTACGGTTAGGATTTGGGTCAGGGTTAAGGTTAGGTTTAAGGCTAGAGTTTGTGGTAGGTATAGGGTGAGGTTTAGTGTTAAGTTTAGGGTTGGCGTTAGGTATATAGTTACATCAAGGACTAGGTTTACTTTTGAGGTTACGTAGAGGTTTACCGTTGGGTTTGGAGTATTTCTGTCCCGCGTGTCCTGTCAACTAGGGCTTTTTCGGGGATTCTAGGCTTCCTTCAATCTCGTGGCAGATTGCCTTTTTCGTTTCATCCAGCATCCAGCTTACTTTCAATGCCCACATTGTGCTTACACTTGGGACCAGGACAGCGCAGCCGACCCTTACCGTAACGTGCTGATGCAATGCTGTATGATCCGATATTTCGCGGTCTTAAAAATCTCACAATCAGCAACTTTTTAGGACCGAAAGATGGCCTTTGTTCAAGTACAAAGTTCGGAGAAGATGTAGTTTGCTAGCAGTGGAGTACAAGAAAGAATATTTTTGTGCCTGCTTTCTATGAAATATGTTTGAATTTATGAGGAAGTCGAAAGTGGACGGGAAAAATTCGTACTACTTCCGTAGCATCCCAGGATCTTAGGATTATGCTGTGCGATAAATAATACTCCTGGCCTACTTGCAGTAAGTGAGTTAACTCATGAAATCTCAACAGAAATTCCGGTATGCGTTTTCGTTTCGAAAAGATTAATTAAGCAGGGTTGTAAAACCAATCATCGTGCAGCATAATTCTATAATAATTCCGTTACCTCAGGACGCCGGTATACGAAAAAACGCCTTCTTTGGCTTCATCCAAAAACCATACTCCGTAAAAAATGACCACTTATGCACCTTGCATTATTTCCATTGATTTTCGATGCCCTTAAAGATTCAATTACATTTAATGGAAAGCATGCATCAAAATAGTCATACCTTTGCTCATTCAGTAAAAAATTACGTCTTCTTTTAATTTTACACTCGAAGGAAGGGTATAATTTGGTTTTATAAAACTTTTCCGATTCCAGAATAATTTTGAACCCGCTCTGCCGTTAAACGTGCATTCAGGGTTCCCAAACTACAAGCCGTGTAATTTCCGCGTACGGAAAACCATACATTTCTCTACGGTAATAAAGGGGGACCATATAGGGTGCATAAAATAAAGCAGTGGATTTGAGCCACATTGGTAAATGTAGAGACATGACATTTTATGAACGGCTATGTCACGGTATTTAAAAGTCCCACAATAATTAACTTTTTTAAAGTCGAAGTATGTCCGTCCTTCGGGTATAAGATTGGAAGAAGACGTAATTATCTACCGAATGCGCAAAAGAATGAATATTTTTATGCATGTTTTCCACGAAATATAATTGGACTTTTAGGAGCATCGAAAGGCAATGAAAAAAGTGCATGCTACTTAAGTAGCCATTTTTTACGAAGCCTGATTTTTGGAAGCGGCCGAAAGGAAGTTCATTCGAAAGCCGGTGTCCTGGAGTAATTGAATTATCCTAAAATTATGCTCTATGATGTTTGGTTTTACAACCCTGCTTAATTAATCTTTTCGAAACGAAAACGCCCTTTGGAAGTCCTGTTGACATCTCATGAGTTGGCCCACCTACTGTAAGTAGTCTTTTAAAGCCAGAAACGCATTTCAGAGTCTAAACTAGCATTTCATTAGATAGCACATCTATCGTAGTAGCTGGGATTTGGCACAAGGCCATCTTTATAACGGGGCTTCCTATCCAGGGTGGCGAGACAGGGAATCCGCTCTCCCAGTGTGAGGAGTGCCTAGCAAAAATAAGGTTCTCAGAAGAGGCCGCAGCTGGAAAGACGCTGCAACACGTAGACGGTTGTGTGAACAAGCGAAACACAAAACTCTACAAGAGTCTGATGGGAGATTGCCAGGGTACACATGCGGTCGCATAAAACTCACCGCCAACCAGGACACGCCGATTTGTCTGTAGGCGAAGAGCAGTAAGTCGCGCAGCAATCGAACCAGGTAGGAGTCCTTTTCGTAGCCCAGCTGGGCGAATCCGCCAAGAAACTGTCGAGGTTGGTATGAAAAATTAACATGAAAGCAAGTTGAAGGCAAAAAATGAACGGGAAAGAGCCGACGTTCGAATCACAAGGCTGAAAGTAGGTAGTAGATATGATGCAATCCTGACAAGTGGCTGTCATGGCGGTGAGGGTTACCACCTAACCCGGACGCTGAGAATAAAACATATAGATCTCTTGATCAGAAGAAAAAGAAGCTATCGTTGGAACAAGGGATTTATTCGCCTGACGTTTCGGATTCTCACTTGAATCCATCATCAGAGACAGTGGCAGAAAAGGGTGACTCGTGCACAAGAAGTCGCAGTATTTATAGGATGCAGTCGCTATGCTACCGCATACCTATAGCAATTCACTGCGCTCCCCTTAATCAAGGATGAGTGCCCGCTGGTGCGCTTATTGCTTGATGGCCGACATGCAAGTTGTTAATTGCCGAAATGTCATCACCCGTGTTGGATGCTGGCGTGATGATTGCTCGGCCATCTGGCTTACCGGCTTGCGCGCTCCCCGGACGGTCAATTACCTTGGCCAGCCTATGCCTCAGCACGGAATATGGAGTGGGACTGTCGTTGCACTTGTTGATAGACTGAGGTCCCGTGAACCATGACTCAAGCAACTCGCGGCTCACACGATTATCCCCTCTCGCGAGAATTTCGGCCTCATCGAACTTGAATGTGTGGCCGGGTCTCGTCGAAGGGGACGTGACCCCCAAACCCCGACACTCAGAATAAAACAAATAGACCTCTTGTCGACTCGGTGCAATGGCAGTTCGAACATCGAGTGCGAGCGGCCACGGGACGAACGCACGACAGTGGCCCCCGTGTGAATTGTAGTGAGACAGACTTGCGAAGCATCTACCGCACCCTATCTCCCCCCTTACCTATCTGACTTCGATGGAAAGCCGGTGCCAGACTGACCGGAGACGACTGACAAAGCTAAACAGTCCGGGTCTACGAGTGCCACATACATGACAGGGCCCCCAAAACATGCTCGGCTGAGAGCTTACTTGAGTGAGTCATTGAGCATGACTCCCTCAGGCCTCTATTCAATTACTCTATGGGCACACAGTTCTGACTACGAGGGCCGAGTAATACCGTCAGTTGGCAACCACTCAACCAACGTCGTGGTAGTTTCGAGCGTGCCAAACATTATTTGCGAGGAAGGCGCACTGATCTGCGGTGGGGATGGAGCTCCCAGTGTCGACCTTACCCCCGCTCTTTCAAATGAACCAATCGACTGTTCGGACTTGTCACTCGGCTGTCAGTCAGCGAGTGCGGATCCCCTGTGCATACTAGTTGTTGCTCGGTGGCATGACTGGTTGGATGTGACCAAAACCTACAACAGCTGCTGTCTCAGTCTCTGCTAGCTTTTTTTCCTAACACTTCCACAGGTGGTTGTTTGGCCGTCTGGAGAACCAATATGCAGTCATCTGTTTGTGGTCGCTTTCACCGGACGCCAAAGTCAAGGAGAGTTTTTCGATTCTTTGCAACACAGACCTTGACAGTGTATGGCAGGCCTATCCGTTAGAGTGGGCTCGGAATGGTCACAAAAAAACCGCTGGTGACTTTCTAAACAGGGCCGATGAAGTCGGACCAGAAAGAACAAAATCATACCACTTACAGCCCAGTGTCACCGAAAATACCTAGAGTAGCACAGGAACCATGAGTTTATTTGCTTGAGCTTCCGTAGTCAACCAGCGATCACAAGGATCGTGGAACACGAGGCACTTAAGGTGCATGCAACAACTGTCCTTGTAATTATATAGGTCATACCAGGCAAAGGCTGATGTCGCATACATATGAACATAAAATGGCTGTGTGGTGAGTAGATCTAGTCCTCCGCATTATTACCTACACCTTGGCCGGATCAGGACTTCGACGATTTTGGCGTAGAGGAAGGCTAGCGTTGGAGGGATAGGCGCTTGAAAATCTGATGGGGACACCCCACCGGCGTATACGACCCTTCAACAGTTTCCCGACTTGCTACACAACCCGGGTGATCGGTTATAAAGCCGTGCCATTAAGCCGCTGTAGTACTGAGACAGCTGCAGTGCCCGACCAGCTCCAATTTTCCTCACTCCAACAAGCGCCTGGGACCCGAATACTCGTCCTACATTCGTGAAAGTCTTTTGGCTCGAGGCGGGGGATGGGAAACGGCGAGATATAACAAAACGGACAAAGCTCTAGAGGTGGGAGAGGGCTACTTGAGGCAGGTGCTCGCCGATGCATTCTCTGAGAGTGTCCACCAAGGAGGACGGTGGATGGGCTGCAACACGACCGTGACCGGAGACGAACGGTGATGATGTTGACTGTTCAAAGAGGCGCCGCGGTACAAGCAGGAGGCCGGAAACTAGACGTTCGAAGGCGGAGGTCTGGCAAGGAACAGGCGAGGGGTAGAGGAGGCTGGCACAGGTCTGGACAAGAGTGCCAGCCGCTCCGAAGACGCGCAGCAGTTGTGAGCGGACATCCTGCTTGGACAGCTCCGCCAAGAGGTTTGAATCGAGGGGAGCGCATAGCACGCCGACCAGGGAGAGGAGGTGCTTGTGTGCGGTCTCTCTGTATGCCATGCGCTCGTGGAAGGACTGCAAGGTGAGAAGGTGGGGCCGAAAAACAACTTATAAAAAGCCAGTGGCAGCACAGTGGAGTATGCGTAGATGACGCTTGCTTTTAACTGGAGTGCCTGGGCGGAAGAAAAGGCGCGGTACGCGATGGATTGGTGAAATTTAGTGGAGGCTCCTGATGTCCATTGGGTTATATGAATGCTAAGTGCCTGCCTACCTAAGGGTCCAACTCTTTCCCTCTATCCATGAGTATTTATGAACGTCCTCTGCGGTGAGATGATGTGTCTTAGCTTCCCCTACACCCAACCACCCCCTCGCACTTTAAATACACCTATACATAAAAAAGGAACAACTTTTCGCAAAAAGGGTATTCAAAGGGACAAAATTTAACTCGAGAGGTGCTCAGCCGAAGGAACGGTCATCGGGATAGTATTGCTTACAGTAAGGAGCTCTGAACGACAAACACAAGTGTCCATTATCGTCTTTTCCACAGCAGCCGACGCAAATCCAGTTTTCGGTCATCTAGACGGCCTACAGAATGCCCGTTCGTATGACGTCCTGTGCCTAGGTGTCAGACTAACTTTCGTCTTTAACAGTCCAGTCCCTTTCCCTCAACCGCGCTGGTTGTTTTAACGCACCCGGCACAATGCTGTGCACAAACACGCGCTTTCTGCGCATGTGCTTCGCGACTGGGTCGTTTGACTACTGAATATTAATGTGACCGGGTCACGGGTTTTTTTCGGCTGACCACACTCAAGAGAGTGGATGTAATTGATGACTTCGGACTTCAGCCACTGGTAATACAGGAGGTTGGTTATCTCATGGAATGTTAATCGAAATTCTGAAACACGTTTTCGATTCGTAAAGACAGCTCATGATTATGGGGCAGAATCCCATGATATCCCAGTCATATCAGGATGCCGGCAGTTGAACGAGGTTCTTTTCGGCCGCCTGTAAAAACTAAATTCTGTAAAAATAGCTACTCAAGTAGCACGACTTTTCCTCATTGATTTTCCATGCCCGTCCTTCTAACCATTTGGCGACAAATTACCTATCTGAAATTTATACTCAACAAAGAAAGAGCATGATTTGGTTTAAAAAAAAACTTTTTTTGATTTCAGAATAATTTTTAACCTAATTTACCGTTGCATTTGAGTTCGGGCTTTTCAAACAACAAGCTGTATGCAGTGAGTGACCGATCTCATGAAATGCTAACCGAAATTCTGAAATATGTTTTCGACTCAAAAAATTACTAAAGTGGGGTTGTAATACTACTAATAACCGTGCAGCATAATCTCATGGTAATTCAGTTGCTTCAGGATGCCGGCTTTTGGATGAACTTCTTTCCGGCTGCCTGCGAAAATTACACTCTGTAAAAAATGACTGCTTAAGTAGCGCGAATTTTTCTAATTGGTTTTCGATGCCCTTATAAATCCAAATATATTTCATGGAAGCCACATGTAGAAATACTCACCCTCTTACTCATTCGGTAGAAGATTAAGTCTTCTTCAGATTTTGAATTTGAGGAAAGAAAATAATTCGATTTTAAAAAGCCTTTCCAATTCTCGAATAATGTCGAACCCGACATTGCGTTACACTTGCATTCGGGGTTTCCAAACTACAAGCTTTATATTTTCCGTGTACGGAAAATTATACATTTCTCTATGGTATTAAGAGGAGACCGTACAGGGATTCATAAATTTGCCAGTGGACTTGAGCTATATTGTAAACTGTACAAGCAACATTATTAAATACAGAGGCACGATGTTTTATGAACGGGCACCCCCGGGTCTTAAAAAATTTCATAGTTAAAAACCTTTTTAAAACCGAATTATACCCTTCCTTCAAATAGGCAATTTAAAGAAGACGTAATTTTCTACCAGAGAGGTAAAAGAATGAATATTTGTATGCATGGTTTCCATGAGATACATTTTAATCTATAAGTACATTGAAAATCAATCAGAAAAACTCATGTTACTTAAGTAGTCCTTTTTTACAGAGTGAGTTTAGCAGACGGTCGAAAGGTTCTTTTAAAAGCCGACATTCTGACGTAACTGACATATTTTTTAGGGATTATACTGCGTGAAAATTAGTATTACAACCCTACTTAAGTAATCTTTTCGAGTTGAAAACAGACCTCAGAATTTCGGTTAACATTTCACGAGTTAGTGCATCCAATGTGTATAGGCTGTTAGCCAAGTCGTGTGTCACTGCATTCGCAACGGTCCAACCCTGCCTGGGTTCGTAGGACTAAAAAAAAACAACTTAAGCTACCGTCCAGATGCGTAAGACGAGAAGAGATAGGCTACTTGAGTAATTTCAGACGTCGAAAACAGCCTAGTAACCAGTCGCATTTTTCTCGGAAGACGGGACTAGGCATATCGTTCTTACAGCCTCGAACAAGACAAACTGCCAAAAAGTTAGCAGATAAAGTGTGGACAAGGCGTAGACATATGAACTCACCTTGAGTGTATCGAGCCGGTGGCTGAGACGAAGGAGTGCAAGATCGGGATCCACACTCGAAACAACATCGACAAGGTCTGGGGGAAACCTTGAGGTCAGGAGGGAAACTACACGGGGTGGGCTCTCTGTATCCTGTGAGTCACAGTAGAGGAGACGGTAGAGTAACCAACCAACAAAGAGACCCCAAGCTGAGTCGCAGGTGAGCGGGGCATCATCCGATTGGGGCGCCAAGGAGGCGTAGAGGCGGGAGAAGTGGTTCGGATCGCCGAATAGGTAGCGAAGATAGTGACCACGGAATCTGGCGGACATACAAGAACAGAAAACAGAATTTACCACTGTCCGCGGATGGGGCAATCGGCAGCTTGACCTTTGTGTATCTCTAGCTTGCCCTGATCACACACAATCGCTAGCGTTCGCTACCAGTCGCTTGGGCACGGATTCGGCAAAGGCTGTCCTTTCAAATCTGACTTCCCTACTGCTGGATTGAGAATATATTGCAGTAGATGGTCGGCATTTGGGAGGATCAGATCGCATACATTTGGTATTATTATTATTGCTTGTTGAATTGAATTGAGGTGCAGAAAGCCTTTTACTAGGGAAGAATTTATTTCGGAGCTGTTTTATGGAAAAACAGATCAAAATTAGAAAAAATCGGACGTTCTCTGATAACCATATAATTTCCTACATTATATAGTATCACATGTCAAAGCCTTTTGTTCTTACACGTTGTTTTATAAGGGTAAATTAGCATAAGTAAACAATATTTAAGTTAATCCTTTCTGAAAACGAAAAATGGAGTTTCGCATCCATAAAAATCAGGTGGATTCAGGTATCCAAAGTTGCACTGCCTTCGAGAAACATGGGGCGGACTGGGTTTCGAAAATTCCATTTCGCCATTTTTTTCTCCTATGTCATAAAATGTTGTGGTAACCTCGTTTCACAGCAGTTTCTTTTACCACGCTGTGAATTAGTAGGGGCAAAAAATATATATTGACTATTGACTATTTAACGTCAAACCGCGCGATAGAGATTTCGAAGCACCTCCTGTCAAACGTCAATTTTGGCGAACACGAAAGTTGGCCACCAAAGGGTTGTCGCGTGAGTTGCCAGATCTTCAGTGCCCAGAGAAGGTAGGGGAGGAAAGATAAGGGGGAGGATAAGATGGAGAGGATGATGGGGGAAGAGAAGGGAAGGAGAGGGAGGGGGAGAAAGGGGGGAAGGGAACAATAGTAGGCCGAAGGGCTGTCGCGTGAAATGGCAGATCTTCAGTGCCCAGAGAAGATGACGGAGGAGGGATAGGAGGGAGGGTAGGATTAAGAGGGTGGTGGGGGAAGATAAGGGGGAGGGGGCAGCGATAGGCGCCTACAACCGCAGTGACCAATGGGAAAGGACGGGAAAATATGTAGATGGACGGGAAAGCTAAGATACCGGTTTTAGACGAGGACACTAAGAAGTAACGAAATAAAAATAAATTAAAAACAAACTTGCCCGAAGGAGCACGACGGACGGAGGGCAAAAGCACTGTATAAGTTCATCGGGGATTCAGCTGGCTTCCTATCAAGACAGGACAAGGGTGAAGGACGACAAGGAAAATGGAGAAGATGCGATGATGATAATATGAGGAGTCGAGAAAACTGAATCAGTGGAGGAAGACAAAGTGTTTCTGGGTAAATTAATCATTGGTAACATACATGACAGAAAGCCGGTCCACATAAAACCCTAAAGGCATACGAGCTTTAAGTGCTAGAGCGAGCCTCAATAGCTGATTTAGGGATCAGGACGTTCTGAATCTGGTGATTGCCTCATTTTCCGCCATCATGCTACCCGGGAATCACATTATCGTTATTTTTAATGTTGATGAACATTCGGACGTTCAACCTACCTGAGCGCCGAGCTAGACGCGGTGAAAAGCGTCAACAGAAACGCCATCTCTGCGTAGTCCTGAGACAGACTGTCGGCATCACCGTCATCGGGATCGTTCAGTGAGGAAGAGGGCGACGTGGAGGAGCTCTCAATGAGCTTTGAGTGTAGCTTGGTCCACACAAAGGCTTCAAGGAAAAAAAGCAAGTTATGCAAGGGCCTAGGAGTGGGCGCACAGAAATATAAGTAGCAAATAGGTGGGGAAACTTGCAAACTTGGATGAAGCCATGATGATTTTTGGGATGTTTACGTGAGTGACATTTTATTTAGAGGCCTCAGAGAGCTGTCCGCAAACTCCCCACCGCGATGAATTTGTGCCACAATCTACTCCAAGCATAACAACGCCTTCTAAACAGGAATGCTCCAGCGTTGTGCATATTTTAGCCGAACAAAATAGACAATATGACCTTGCTGATAGACCTCTGTTTGTGGAATGTCTGCTTGGCATGCGTGCGCATGTTTGTGTTTCCGGTTACCGATGGCGGTCACGGTTATAATTAGCTGAAGGAAGGTAGGGTAAGTCTGAAACGGTTTTGTGCCAAACTACGTGCATCTATACGCCTCTGTTGAAATGCTACTGTAGGCTTCGTTGTGCTCTCAGACTGTTTTAATGTGCAAAAAACGCTGCAGCACAGGGGCCAGGAGGAAAGTTGAGCAACATGCCAGTGAAGCGGACACTAGATGCGCTCGTCATCACCGTAACACGCAGCAACAGTGTGACAACTACAACTGGTGTAACCAACACCGAACGCTTTACTACTACTACTACTACTACTACTACTACTACTACTGCTACTACTACTACTACTACTACTACTACTACTACTACTACTACTACTACTACTACTGCTACTGCTACTGCTACTGCTACTGCTGCTCCTACTACCACTACTACCGTCACTACTACTAATACTATTACTTCCAAAACCACAACTGTTCCCACCATCAGATTTGCCATGGTCATCAAGTCTACTTATAGTGATAAAAGCAATAATTGTAATGAGAAAAATACTTGCCAGAGAGATCCGGGTGGTTTTCAGCAGACTGCAATCTGAAAGAAGTTGATCCAGTATGAGAAACAAAACTCTTCATGAGATTTCGCTAACTGACTAACGATGGATAATAATGGTACAAATCGGCAGTTGCGTGCATACTGCAATTTGAAGTTGGCCGACAACTTACAGTGCGTGACCTATCTCATGAAATGTTGGCTGAAATTCTGAAATGCGTTTTCGATTAGGAAGGATTACTTGGTCGCGGTTGTAATACTAATTATCTTACGGTATACTCTTATAACATTTCGGAGTCGGCAGGATGTCAGCTTTTAAATGCACTTCTTTTCAATCTCCTGTAGAAAGCGTACTCGGTAAAAAATGACTACTTAAGTAGCATGCATTTTTCCCATTAATTTTCGATGGTCTTGGAAATTCAAATATATTTTATAGAAACCACAAACAAAAATGTGCTTTCTTTTAGTCAATCAATAAAGAATCACGTCTTCTTTATATTCCATACTTAAGGAAGGAGTATAATTAGGTTTTAAAAAAGTTTCTAATTATGAGACTTTTTAAGACCGCGATATGTCCATTCACAGAGCATCGTGCCTGGCCGTTTACCACTGCTCCTCATGAAATGTGCAACATGGTCCGCATCCATTGCAAAATTTTATGGACCCTGTATGATATCTCTTTAATGACATAGAAAAATATGGGATTTTATTTACGCAGAACGCATGCACCTTGTAGAGTGTAATCGCTAAGCGCTAATGCAACGAATGATCAGGCTCCAAATTTTTCGGCAATCAGAAAACTTTTTTAAAACCTAATTATACTCCTTCCTTAAGTATAAAATATAAAGAAGACGGGATTTTCTACTGGATACCTAAAAAGCATATTTTTGTTTGTGGTTTCTATAAAATATATTTGAATTTCTAAGACCATCGAAAATCAATGGGAAAATGCATGATACTTAAGTAGTCATTTTTACCGAGCACGTTTTCTACAGGAAATTGAAAAGAAGTGCATTTAAAAGCCGACATCCTGCCAAATCGTAAATGTTATAAGAGTATGCCTTAAGATAATTAGTATCACAACCGCGACCAAGTAATCCTTCCTAATCGAAAACGCATTTCAGAATTTCAGCCAACATTTCATGAGATAGGTCACGCACTGTAACTTCGGATGTATTTAGGCGCATGAATTGTTGTGAAAAAGACTGAGATTAAATTTTGATGCAAAAGACAAGAGTACCCAGAAAAGTCACTTTTTTTAATATATAACGTAGGAGTGACGTTGGCAGATCGCGGCACTACTGGCAGTACGAAACATGGGCAACTAATTATCGTGGCAGAAAGGAAATGAGTTCGTTGTATGACCTTCACTGAGGCTGCCCTGGCTCAAGCCAGCCCGTGCAAACATGGAGGTGGTTCTTAGACCTTAGGTTTTCGTTGTTGGTGAGCGAGTCGAGCTTTCAGCACTCGTCACCAGTGGCGTGGAGATATACCAGCCACGACATCATCGAGACCACTGAGATAAGGAGCGGTCATACCTATGTCAAATGGGTCCATGATTCACTGGTAGGACATTCGGATTAAAATGTAATTAGTTCAGACTAAAAACATAAAGTCCTACCGGCTTGAGTCAAAAATAGCTAGCTGGCAGCGACTAATAAGGGAAAATTGACCACCAAGTCTCCCTTCTCTTTGTAGGCCAAGGACTTCAAACAACTGTCCGTTGGCAGACTGTGAAGATTACACAGCTAGTCGGCAGTAGTTGATAGAATGCAACTCAAGTACCCATAAATTTCATGGGCGAACCTAAAAAGTCGTATCCGATGACTTAACTTCAAATTTGGCAATTAAATTCTGACGAAATTACAAGTTACACATTCCCACTTACGCCGGTTCCTTTAGAAGTTTCAAGAGGAAGGATGTGCTGGCATGATTATCTGCAGAAAGGATGACTTCAAGAACGCTGGAATCTGTGAGAGCAAAGAAAAACAAACAAGTTTGTAAAGACCTCTCCGCGCATCAGACTTAAGGTACATAGGTCAGTCTGACAAGATTGGAATGTCGAAACACCTGGTCGAAACAACTGTTTATTGTTACTACTAAAATCTATTAAGTAGGCTGAATAAATTGTCCGTTTATTGGTACTACCCGTTATCGACGCGGCTTATGCGGCCGTTAACATACACAGTGCTGATTTTGTCGACAAATACAGCACACCCGCGCCTCCACTGTTTCTTCTCGTTTCTATTCCTGATGTCTGATTCACAAGTCTCACGTATTTTGGATGTCGTTGATACCTGCAACTGGACAAGAGTGTGGGGTTGACGTTTCTCCCACATCAAGAGGACCAAAGCCTTCGGGAACATGGGATGTCTGTTACGGACAGTCATCATGGCTATGTCCGGCGTCATTGTTCGAGAGTCCGTTGCGTCAAGGTCATTCACCTCCGCAGTCAACGCTTCCATACGTTAATGAGCTCAATTATCACGTCGGGGTCACCAATTTGCTATGGGCTCATGTGCGTCCGAGTTGAAGTTAGTCGAGTGGCTGCAGGTCGGCGCGTCTGGAACCGCTGTCTGCGAAAGCGAATGACCTTGAAACAACGGGACCTTGAACAAGGACGCCAGACATTGCCATGGTGGCTGTTCGTAACAAGTCAAAATCGTCTGCGGATGACGTCGGCTGACCAGTTCTAACAGAAGAACGGAATATGAGCGATTCGCTCTGCTGGACCTTTTCGATTACGATTACTAGTCGCTATACGGACAGCCTGCACGGGCTTCAGGCAGGAGATACGAGACAAGGACGGAACGCCCGTGTTTCACTGTGAAATAGGGCTAGATCGAAAAAAACCACCTTCACGTGACTGTCCAACGATGGCAAACTAAGTCAAAAATGGTCATGTAATTCCAGCTTATCTTCCAATGCAACACATCTTGACTACGTAATAATCGCGACGTACCAAGGTAGGCCAATGCGCGGTCGATATCAGCCTCCAAGCCAGAGTCTGGAGAGGGCCAGAGAAGACATTCGCAAAAGTCCAATGACCGCGAGATCAGTTCACTGCGCCATCCTAGACCGGTCAATTTTCTAGTCGAAGCCGACTGAGTGAGGCCCTGCGTCTTCGTCTGAGGACCATCCAGAGACATCTGTACGCATCTGCAAAGTCAACAATAGCCATAAATTAGGCAAAATAAAGTCAGGGGCAGATGTAACCATGAAAACAGTCATACATACGTGAGCAGTGCTCGCCGAAAACGACTCGACAGGTCCACCAGCTTCTTGACAGCCCCCTCCAAGCCGCACAAATCAACTGCAGTGGTAAGGACCAGCAGCAAGAGCAACTGCAGCCCCTCGATAGCGGCACAGCGACGGCCGATTTCCCAATCCAACCACCACTTTGTTTCGGCCCCGTCTGGCATTGTCGACAAGCCGCCGCGAAGAGAGAAAAGGGAGCTGACAAATTGTACCTGCATTGAATTCACATGTAAATATATGGGTAAGAATGAGGAGGATGACATGGAGGCAGGAAAGGGGGTGTTGAGAGTGATAATGAGGAACTGACAAAGTCGTCTAATGCCGACGGTGTCTGAGGCGAAGCTCTGATGCATATGAAGTGGACGAGGTGGCCAAGAAGGAGGAAGTAGTTGCAAACGCCGAGACGCGTCAGAGAGGAAAGAGCGGTTCGAAACCTGGAAGAAGATATAAAACATTGAGTGCAAAAGGCGGATGGACTTGACAATATAAGAAGGAAGTAAAGCAAACAAACTGATAAAGAGATGGGAGACTGGAAGGTTAGGCAGGAGTATAAGGGTCTAGGGGGAGTTGGGGTTAAGGTTGGGAGGGTTTGCGGACAGAGGAATGGGCACCTCTTGGAATTTAGCCCTCCGTAGTAGTACGCGTCTATATTCCCGTGTCCGAACGACTGGAACAGTCACTCCTGGTTTAGCCGCAGTCGTTGGCCAATTGGATCCCGAACGGGGGTCTGGGAAACCTGTGATTCAACCTGTCTTGCAACCAGATCGCGGAGGTGCCACCGGCATATGATTTTTGACCACGAACACGACAGGCTGATCAACGCGTTACGTGTCCCTTCCTACTAGATGAAGGGGTGTGCGTAGTCCAAGTATGTCAGAGAGGAGGGATTGTCCGTGTTATGGGCCGCGTAGACGATGGCTTCCTGTCAGGTTAGCCATTTAGGCCGGGTCTTTCCACTGGCGGTACGTCGGGAGAGGGAATCAGCGGCTATCTCATCACTCCTACGTAAGGAGATTCGTCGCCGTTGTCGAATTTTTTGCTCGTACAACGGACTAACCCTCAGAAAAAAGGAGCGCGTCGTTACTTGGTCACCAGTTTTTCTCCTGTATGCTCCGGAGAAGTCCATGCGACTAGTGTTCAAATCACGAGCCTTATTTTTCCTTGAAAAGGGCTGATCTAACCACAAGGCCTGGTACATCGCGACGCCGTATTTATGCAGCACTGGTGATATGGCCCCCCATCTCAGCTTGACCCGACGTGCGGTATAAAATACAGTATGTGATCTGACTTGCGAAGCCTGACGATGAAAATCGAGACGACAAATTTTAGGCACCTAAAGTGTTGCACATTTCATATATTCGTGTAGCCCGTTCCGGAAAAGTCCTTTTTGCATGCAGAATAGGTTTATGAATAATTTCATCGGTCAAAATATTTACAAATTTGAGCGGACATCTACGTTACCGTCCGATCAAATCTCCAGCCGGTTCAACTCGAACCTCCTACGGATATGTTGGAGGAGGGAATCAGCGAACGCCTTATCTTAGTACATCCTCTAATCCTACGTAAGGAAATAAGTAACAATCGATCAAATGTTTTACGTGTACTACAAAATAAAAGTAGCATGCCGCCAGGTAGCTACCAGTTTTCCTTTCCTATGCTCCGGGGAAGCCCATACAATTGGTGTTAAAATTGAAGGTTCTCTTATTTTTCTTGAAAAGCGGTGATTTAGTCACAAGGCCTTGCACATCACGATGCAGTATGCATGGAGCCCAGACAGGCAAAGTGGCTCAGTCCATTGTCCTAGTGAAGAAAAAACCCTATTCCGTTTAGTGGTTGCAAGAGGTCGCGGAATAGGTCAGCCAAGAGACGGTAGAAAGATTACTGCAAGGATTAAAAACGAGCAAAATAGGACGAATTAACGAAAAATAGGAATAAAGGAGAGTGGAGAATCAGCATTGGGAGGGGAATTCAACAATGGGCGGTGAATGCTTGCGATACCAGACCGCGCGGAGCGGAATCAGGATCCCCACAGCCGGCATCGAGGGTTCCCAGTTTTTAGGAAAGATGAGAAGAATAGAGAGAGCGAGAGAGAAAGAGAGAGCAAAAATCAAAAAGTGTCAGCGAAACGTACATGCTAAACATTTCTGACGGATGGAGAGGAAAAACCAGGCGCGTCAGTCGACAGAAAAGGTCGTAGGTGCCAGACCTAAAAGGGACACATGTTGCAGGCGAATATTCAGTGTTTTCTGCGGAAATATGCTGCGAGAAGGGGATCGCCGTCAATTCCCAGTTTTAAACTGATCAGAAAGCAAGAAAATCCAAGTACGAACTAGATTAGGCAGAAAATTCACGTCGGACATTTGGTAAGCACTGAGGGAGGGCGCATATTTAAACGATGCCGAGCTATTCATAGATCAGATTGCCAGTGTGCCCTAAAACTAACGAAAAATTGACCGAAATATTCGGAATGCGCTCTAAAATGGAAATGAGTGCTCAAGTGAGGCAGTCTGTCAATCCCTTGAGAGTCTGACCCACGGGCCAGCTGGTGGTGAGGATTATAACTGTCTGAATGAAGGCAAACAAGCCCGAAACAGTGCTGTATCAATCTACCTGTCAGACTGTGTCGTCTCCCCTCTCTGCTATCATAGCTTGGCCGACTTCGGCCTGGTAGGTGGTTACCTGTTCGTGACCCCTATCGCCCATACGAAGCCTGTTTGCTTCGGGAAGCCAATGGATCGGTGTGCGCCCATTCCTGGGTGAATAAAAACCCGATCTGCTGCGACAGAGAATGACAGGTGGAGTGGTACTGATGAACTTCGGTTCGAGGACGTGCCGATGACCCATCTGGTAGACCCCAGTGGTGGACCAGCTGCGCCAGGTGCGTCTGAGCGCATGTTTGTGTTTCCGGTACCAGCTGGTGGTGAGGATTATAAATGACTGAATGAAGGCAAACAAGCCCGAAACAGTGCTGTGTCAATCTACCTGTCAGACTGTGTCGTCTCCCCTCTCCGCTATCATAGCTTGGTCGACTTCGGCCTGGTAGGTGGTTGCCTGTTCGTGACCCCTATCACCCATACGAAGCTTATTTGTTTCGGGAAGCCAGTGGATCGGTGTGCGCCCATTCCTCAATGAATAAATACCCGATCTGCAGCGACAGGGAATGGCAGGTGGCGAGGCGCTGGTGAACTTCGGTTCGAGGAAGCGCCGATGACCCATCTGGTAGACCCCAGTGGTGGGCCAGCTGCGCCAGGTGCGTCTGAGCGCATGTTTGTGTTTCTGGTCTCAGCTGGTGGTCAGGGTTATAATTGGCTGAATGAAGGCAAACGAGCCTGGAACAGTTATGCATTAATATACTCTAGTACTCTGCCGTCCTCCCTCCGATATATACATATATAATATGCAGCAACCCCTTATTTTAATACGCCGACAGGTCCGTATTAAGCTTACGGTATTACTGTACAACCTGGTGCAATTTAAAGTTCGACAATAGTACTCACAGCGGTCAATTCTACCACTGTCTTGGGCCTGCTGATGATATTTTTTTATAAAGATGATATCGGGAAACTGTATTTCATCCTGATAAAGCACAGACAATTGGCCACCATTTCAAGCTTTGAGGACAGAACACATACCATGAAACAATGGATCAGAGTATAAGGACGAAGTTACAAACCATCGGCTGAACAGACGGGCTTAGAAAAAGAAGCACACAGACTTACGCATGCACTTCGGGAAGTCTGATTGCCTGGAGCTTGGTAGCATAGCTAAAAGGAACACCAAAAATGAGATACTTATAATCGTGACTAGTATCCAATAAAAGGCATTAATGGGACCGATTTCGGGATATAGAGAATTTAACTCATGCTTAAGGGCTGCGATGCAGTAATTATACTATCCAGACAGGAGAAAAAAATTAGGTAGGGGGTGAGGGGGGTGGCATTACCACCTGACCTTTCAGCATCGTAGGAGTCTCTATCGAGGTCCATTTTCGAGTCCTGTGTTTAAATAAAAACAGTAGGGTCAGTTGATGTCATGAAAGGGCGGGAATGAATCCGTGAAAGTTCCTTTTGCAAATTAATGTGCTTCCCTCGTGAAACTGGCAAAAATATGTGTGATAGTCCCTCATACAACTCAAAACGGTTCTTCTATGCCTGCGACTTTTTAGGCAGGGAGGCCAATAAAAAGGCACAAATAACAGTTGTACCAGTTTGCGACTGAAGTACAGCCACAGAGAGCGCTCCACATCAATACTGGGTCCCCAAGTATGTGTGAGTTTGAGAATGCTTAGCAGAGCTTGGCGCGAGGAGGATTCATTTGGGGTCGAGTCCTAGGAGTAGGGACAGAAAACAAAACCTGACACTAGATAAGCCAGGGTGATCAAAATGACAGCAGCTTGATTCTAATAGGGATATGGGCAACGTACCCCCAGAAACTGTGTCCTCACTAGCCACACGACAGTAGCAAATTTGAGTGTTGAGCTGGTAGCCGTGGTGACCTGAAAGAAGAGTAAAAATGTAAAATGACGTTTACGTAGAATGCGTAGCGCAGCAGGCCACACGCATCCGCACACATTAACAAGGTGTTACCAGAGTTGTGTATGATAATACTACTTTAAATAAGCAAGTAGGCGTTTATTTTGATATTTTTACAACGTACGAACGGCCGCTTGCATACTGCATGCAATAAAGTTTTAAATCCCCTTTCAACGTTTTTCACTTATTAGTGCTTATTTTTCTTCAACATTTCCGTAAACAATCGGGGGTTTAAGGGCGTTCGCCCATCTTTCTATTGATAAGACTGAGTGCTACTCCCGATTTCCAGGACTACTTAGAAGCACACATCGTCAACGAGGAGGCAAGGGTGAGAAGGGTGAGGATGAATAATGTTTGTAATGGCGGGTATAAGGCTCACATAGATGGCAGATAGCGTGATTTATCGTCATGAAATGATGGGTTCATGGTGTGGCGATCGGTTAGGGTGTCTGTGAGCCTGCGTAGTACGGAGGCAAGACGATTAACACTCTTCATACTCGCGCCAGTACTTGGGGAAACTGTGAGACATCTGGGAATGGAGTGCACGATCAAACCTGATTGGAGGACTGAAAGTAAAACTCCAGTTCTACAGCCAACACAGGCAATTGAAAGACGACTAGACATTGACAAAGGGGAAGTTTTTCCGGAAAAGACAGCGACATGAGAACGGTCACTTCCGATCCACCTTCGGTCGCCAGATGGTAAATACTGATTGGTAGTCGCCAGGCAACCGCTTGTGTGGTTTGCAGACCCTCAACCTCAAGGCGGAAAACGAAAGTCCCAACTTTCGTTCTGCAGTTTGGGTACATCGGTACACACTGCTTTGAAGTGACTACAAACGCCCGATTTCAGTCGACCTGACGTGGTAAGGAGATTAGTCGGGTTTTAACCTCCGACGCGCAGCTTAGGGATGGGGAACTGGACGTCTGACGACGAAAATAAGTCAAAAATCACAGTTCTAGCCTTGCCACTTTATCGGCCGGCAAAACTCTCCCAACTCCGGAGAGGAAATTCGCCGTAAAGACCACGGGCAACAGAACGAAAAGACCAGGCCCCGAAATCTTATTGCAGTAGACCGATGAGGCAGAAAAACGATTGAAAAAAGATCAATTTAACTGTATCGTCTGAACGCACTGTGTTCGTTTATTGACTGAGTCGTGGCTACCACTTTATGTTTGGCTGTTATGGTCAATATGATTTGTTTAAAATGGTTTGTTCAACTTTTCTCAGAACAACTTTGTCCTGCAAAGCGGAGCTTCATCGAGGGCTTTGAAGCACTTTTATCATCCAGCGCAGTTAGGCAGTGCAAGCATGAGAAAAGGACGCCCAGGAAAAAGTAACCTATGGTAACGACTGTCAAAGATCCCTTGAATGATCTTTCGGCTGAATTTACAGTGAACCGAGTCAAACAAAACAGCATCTGTGGTGAATTTGAATGAGGGGGTAATGCAGAAAAAAACATCCGGTTTCTTCGGCGTATAGGGGGTAGGCAGTTTCTTATCTGCCAGAAACCGAGTGTGATGTTCACACAGCTACTGACAAAAACAAGTAGCAAAATGTGTTATGCAGTCATTTTAGTCACGGATGATAGGGACTCACCGCGAAATCACTAAAGGCAGTCGTAAGCAATTGATGAAGGGGTGCCGACACGACCAAAATATTCCAGTACACCTGCCACAACTTCTCAATGTCGACGACCCCCGACGGAGTCACTAGAGGACATCGCGGGCGTAACTCGTCAAGGCAGCCTGGGGTAGGGGAAAAAGTAAAATACGAATACGGAGAGCACAACAG